ACACGCTACCCGCCGGCAGAGGACAGCACCTAACGGTGTGGACGGCGAAGGAGTCCAGCGCCCGCGACCCGCCGGCATCTTGCGGGGTCGCGCTGCGCGCCAAGCGTGTGGGATTCGAACCCACTGCAGCCACGTGCAGACGTGAGGCTACGGACACGCGTGGGTCGGGGCATTTCAGGCGAGTCCATTCGACCAGTCCATTCGTGTCAGACGAGTCCATTCGTCGCGACGATGCTTGCTGTCGCAGTTGGTGTTTTGTTGTTGTTGTTTTTTTTTTTGCTTTTTTGTTTTGTTTATTGGTTTGCTTGTGTCGGTCCTTTATTTGTTGGCCTCAAATCCAAGGATGTGCCGGCTAGGTTGTCGATGCCGGCCCGGCGGCCACCCTGCATCCAGCCCGTCGTCCCGCCGGTGGACCCGGCGTGGCCGCGGCGTGACTTAGACTGCATACGCAGACTGCATACACTGATTTGCACTGCATACGCGGTGTGGCAGACGAGCGACCATCGTTGGCCCATTGGTGGCGCGACAGAGTACGCAGACGTGCCAGTTAGGTGGACGGACTGGCGTTCGCATCCAAGGCGGAGCCGAACTTATCGATGGTCGCGCGCCTCTCTCGGCCGGACGATCTCTCGGAGTTGTGACGTCAAGGGGCGTACGCCGGTATCTCACGCAGGGCGCACCTCAACGTGCGCGGCGTCGGAACACTTGCCTAGTATTATGACCACAGTAAGTATCAGAGACTGACAGGATGAGGGGCTACGCAGGCGTTGAACGCGCCCGAGCAGTTTGGCTCGGCTATAGACGGATTGAGGATTCAGACGACCCCAGTCCTGCTCTTACGCACATGTATGCTTGTGAGTAGCGCGACTTCGTTTGTTTGTTGTTTTTTTGGACTAAGCGACAGTCCACTCGTTTCGCTGTCTCACTTAACCTTAGGTGTAACGGCGTGAAAAGGCATAGGTCATGGTATGACCAAGGACCAATGGGTGCCACGTGGGATGCCGGATTATGCGCGGCGGTAGCTGAGCATCAATTGGCCTGCAATGCCATGGGAGAGGACAGGACACAGACTGTTCTCTTCCGACGTGGTGTACGGAGCTCTTGATGGCGAGATGTTCGTGACGGATAGAGGTGCCGCCATCGACGCTTCCTTGGAGCGCGACAAGGGACCAGGCCGTCGGACAGGCCGGTCAGGCCGAGCCTCCAGAGGGCGCCGGTCGTGTACAACGTAAGGCGTAAACGCAGGTTACGCCGGGCGCCCATCGTCTGCCGAGAGCTCCACTGTCCCATCGGGCGCGCTGTCTACTTCCAGGCCTGTGAGGGGCGCACCATGGGGCGGTGCCTTGCAAAGCTCATCCTGGCAGGCGGGAGGTGAGGGCGCAGAAGCGCCGGTGGCGAAGTCTGCTGCTGGACGAGGCGATGCCGGAGGCGCGTGCGCGGCAGCGGGAAGCTGCGGGCGGTGGGCGTGGCCGAAGGAATGGTGGGCCTTCCACCTTGGACGGAACGCAGGAAGCGTCCTCCGAACAGGGAGTTGTTACCCTGGGGGTCAGGCAATGGAACGAGACACAATCTACCCATTCCCAACCCCCACTGAAAAGGAAACTGTACGCATCTAGGTTTTTTATGTTAAGTATGTCTTTATCTGGTAATTTGATCAGTTTAGTCTCGACCATCATGAAGTGTTCGATGGCCAGCTAATGATATTTACGTGGTTGTATTGAGCTCCCGAAATGAACGCGTTTGATGCTTATGCCGCATTGCATTTAATTGTCCCTGTATTTGTGCTTTATGGCAGTTGGAGTTATATTGCAACGGTTTCTGATAACGAAGGTCCAAAGTGATAATTCAGACGGCTCTAAATTTCATTGGTGACAGAAAAGGCACTTTTTCACCCCAGTCAAGGCATTGCATTTGCCATGACACGATCAAGGCTAATAAAAATATGAATTCAAGTCGTTTGTATCTGGTGTTCGTGAGCACGATGTCTAGATATAACGGCTGCCAATTGACTCTGGATCACTTTTGTGCAAAGTAGGAATGACGTAATCAAACAATGACGTATTAAACAGCATATGCACTGAGCAGAACAATTGTGTTGTACAGAGCAATCGTTTCCACCTCGCATGTATCCCAATAGTTATAAGTAAGCTTATTTCATGATATATTATGCGTGCCTCAATATCTTTAAGTGAGGAGCATTCTCTTAAAAGTGCACGCGGCGTCTGCTGCGGTCTTAAACAGCCGTTCTTCATTCCTTCATTGCTTTATTTATTCGTTCGTGGCGGCGGGAAAGGTGAGCCATAGTGACCATCAAACATATTATCCAAACACCTTGCTTTGAGGAATACCACAGAAGCAAAACATATCGAGTTGATAGCAACTGACAACGGGTGTGATAAGAGAACCAGATAAATGCAGTAATTTTTCAGCAAAGCTCACTGCTGCGGCAAAACAGCGCTCACGTCGACTATGCGGATGTGTTTTTGAGCCATTAAAGAGTCTGAAAATAGAAGTATCATACAATGTAGGACAGGAGTATTGCAGCAACATTGACAGGTGGCAGAGGCGATATTAGGTAGGTCTTGTATATGCAGTGGTAGAAGTGCTGTTTTCTTGCACGTTTGGAATACGCAATAGTGCTCCAACCGTGACAGAATCTGGAAAGCAAAATTCCAAAGCTGGATAGTTGTTGATTTTGTCTTATTAAGCAGATTGTAGGGGTCATTACAGATGAATGCCTGGAATGATGTTTCCGGATCATTATTTTTATTTTTTTGTAAAATCATCATCAGCTTCAATCATCAGCTTCAGCATCAAATCATCAATCATCGGCTTCGATGCATGCGTAATTTGCGCGAAACCGGCAAGTGCTATGGCAACGTTTATGTCAGGCTCAAATGAATACATAGTTAAATGGGGTTCTTCCAACATAGTGAAACAGCCACCTCTCAGCACACAAGCGTGTTTAAAGAGGGCGAGGGATGGAAAGCCTTCAATGATTTCCGTAAGAGTTGCAAGCGATTTAAGCCATGATTCCCCGAGAAAACCTGACCTACAGACTAAGCTCGTTTTCCTGACCATTCTGGCCTCTTATTCCTGTCAATCCTCTTGAGTTAAATATGACTGAATCTTTTCGTGCAAGGCGGACCAGCGAGCCCGACAAAAGCACCACGAGATACGGACAATACTGGCTGGCTACACGGACAATGCGACGGTTGCTATGATGACGGTGGTCGCGATTGTAGAGAAAGGCGTAGTGCTTTTATGAAGTATTGACAGCGTAATTTGCACCCGAAAATAATAAAAATGTGTATCCTTTGTGTGTCTTAATGATGCTGCAGTAGCATTACCCAGTGTTTTTCATACACGTATCTGGTCCTGAGGTTTTACTGAAGTATATTTTTGAAATATGTCCCAAAAGGTGGGACACTCCCATGAAGCACACAGGCCCGCAAGCTGCAGTTTGAACAAGCTTAAAAACGGTAAGTTTGATAATATTTTTATTAAGTACCTTGTTCCGCGCTTTTCCGGCCTTTAAGAACAGATGTGGCATTTCTAGTTTCCAACAGTTGATAACTGCAGAATCTGCACCGGATTCTGCAGCCGGCCCGCATGGTTTGCACGCGTCCTTTTGTCAGACCGGACCGAAGTGAGCATGACAGCTGTGAGTGATTTTCAACTTGTGCGGGATTCGTGCCTATCGCTCCACACTGTACGTGCCCATCTCAAGCGCCATTTGAGAGCCACATGCGACTCGCACCCGACCTCCGCGCATCACCTGAAGCACACATTTCAGTCGCAACGATCCTGTTATGCATGACTTTTCCTGACATTTTCAGATGTTTTCACTTCGCATACGCATGCGACTGGACATCTGATGCCCTGCAAGGCCTGGTTATGGCGCATTTCGCGGGCTGAGAGGGAGCGAAGCCATGCTACTGTGAATCACACAGCCCACTATGCATGCTTATGCCATGGCATTTTATGCAGCAACCGCAACGTCGTGCCGCGCTCAATCCTGCATGTCACGTGCAACTTCGGCTGTGCACCAGCCGCGGTCAGCACGATGCGACGTAAGACGTTTGGGAATGCGCTGGCAAACTGCGTTGTATTGATTAGGTAAGATATTTGAGGCAACAGAAAATATGTCATCACATCGCAGAATAAGTGTATTTGCATGAGGTTTTGCAGCATTTCAAGAGTCCCACAGCATGTCGCGGAGAGCGCCCTGTTGGGAACGGCGACTTTTAACGGCGTTGTTTTCGTACAGCATCATTGCAAGTACTACCCACAGGTATCCACCATCCACTTGAAGGATTAGCTTTCAGCGGTGAGCCACGTTACGTTGTTGATTGGCGAGGGCGTAAATGGTTACCTACAGCATTTGTCCACATGCGGTTTGGACACGCGTTGGGAAGTGCACTCGTGCGTATGGCTGTCAGCCGTGGAGAATGCTCAAAATCTGGAGAGAGCATTGCATACCATCAAATGATCGAATAGGGCGCATACGCTATGATTTCGGGTTTCTGAGAGACATGTCTTCTCTCACGCTTCTAATACACGTTCTATGATCGCAGAAACATAAACATTAACCTCCGTTACGGGGAAATTCCTTCCCCAGTACATCCAACCGCCACGTGGCTATGTGGTAATCATACTTGCGTCATTGCGGGCCGATTCAAAATAGTTTTGACCACTGATGAGTTACCGGAGAAGAATGCTGCTTTTCATTCCAATGCATCAACGCGGGACCTCGATGTCGCGGAGCCTGGTGGTGGCTTAGTGACATTAAGTGGCATCTGGGATACCTTGTCAGCGCTCTGAAACAAGTGCTGAATCTGCTCCAGCGAGAGACCCTTTGTTTCCTTGAGGCAAAACGTGGCAAATAGCACCTGACACAGGCTCACCAACATGTGAATGATGAAGCCCCCACCCAGACCGACGCCTTGTTCGATGAATGGGTACGTTTTCATGAGGACGAATGCACACATATTGAGTACCGTAAGCACAATGTTTGCGCCCCAGGTGCGCGTGTTGTTGGGCAGCAGCTCTGTGGCGTAGTTGAATGCGACGTTGCCCACCATGCCAACGAAGGCCACCTGTGTCAGGACTGCGCCCACCGGCACAATCCAGGCGAGGCGCTCCTGGGACTCGGCGGCGAGGAAGAAGTACGCGGCGATCGTGGCGCAGCCGATGGCAGAGAGCGCGCCGCCCAGACGCAGCACCGGTAGACGTCCGTATCTCTCGATAGTAATGCCGCCGGGGACGCAGACGAGCGCGGCAAGAGCGGCCGGCAGCGTGGCTCGCTGGTACTCGCTAAGCGGTAGCCGCACCGGTGCAAGCACGAAGGCGGTGATGAGCAGTAGCGTGGGGCCGCCGCACCATACAGTCAACACCATCTGGACGGATGCCAGTAGCAGCGGGCGCCACGTGCCCGGCTGACGCAGCAGCGTCCACATGGGCATTGTGGTGCCGTCCACATGTGCGTGCTGCAGCGAGTCGTGGATACTTCGTATCTCGGAGGCAACATCTTCCTGCACACCACGGAAAAACTGGATAGAGCGCACGGCTTCCTCCTCCGAGTGGCCGCGCGAGAGCAGCCACTTGGCCGAGTTGGGCAGGAAGAGGAGACCGAAGAGACAAAGTGTGGCCGGCACCACACCTACCACGATGAACAGCACCTGCCAGTGCAGCAGCGGCGCCACGGCCAGCGCCAGCACCTGGCCCAGGTACACCATGAAGTTTAACAGGGTTGTGAAGAGAGCACGGCGCGTGGGCGTCACAATCTCGGACACATAACCACGCACGCCGCCCTCGGATATGCCGAGCGCCGCGAACATGACTACCCGACCGCTCAGCGTCCAGCCGAAGTGGCCACCGACGCCGACCGCCAGCGAGCCGAGCGCGTACAGCGGCATGGTGAGCAGTAGCAGGCGCCGCGCGCCCAACACGGGCACCATCGGTGCGCTCAGCAGGCCGCCTAGCACGGCGCCCAGCGAGGTGGCGGCGATCGACCAGTTGAGCTGGTCGGCTCTGAGGAAGCCGTCGGGCTCGTCCGGCACTTGGATGAGGGTGACGCTGTGCATGCCGAAGTTCAGGCCCATGGCCAGCATCAGCTGACCGAGGACCACCAAGGCCAATACCTGCAAGCAAGAATAGATGCTATGATGATGGTGGGTCTTTTCAATAGCTGTCTACTGTTATCTGAAACTGCAAAAAATTACAGTATGATTTTTAAGACAATAGTGCCGTGCCTTTTAGTGTCTTTTTCTTCGGAGACAAAAAAAAAACAGAAGAATGGAAAAATAGTTCGGTTGATATTGGGGCAACACGCCTTTATGAAAACAATAGCAAAAGTGACGTTTAAAGTGACACCCTCTCGCTGGCTTCAGCCTGAACTGCCTGAGGCGGCTCCAGAAATCTCTCCGCCCTGCCAGCAGGCCGCTGCACAGGTAGGAGCGTCGCGCGAGAGTGATCAATCCCTTCACTCTGTTACGGCACCACTGGTACGCATGGCGCGCTTCTATGGCACGGCAGCACTCCAGCGCTCCAACCTATTTCTCCATTCTCCTGGTTTTTCTCCTACGAATAAAACTATCACTGCTGTCTTATCTATGTGCATAATGTTTTTTCGTGAATGCGCTTAACAACTTGCAGTTTGATTTCGTGTAAATTTTCTGTCGTTTTTAAGTGTCCATGTACTATGTTAGACGTGGTTACGGCCATTTTGAGACTGGGACACGTTCAGCCTGAGTCTGCTGCTTTCCGACAGGGAGCCGTTCTACGACGCTGGCACCGCTGATGAGCAGGTAGCCGCATTTATGGAAATGTGGAAAGTCTTAGTCGAGGCTCATTGCCCGACCATCACCACGACGTCACGCCGGCCATGCTGTCCATAGCTGCGTGGAGATACCGATGTCTCCGCAGTTATGGAGGAGCGCGACAGCGCCCGCGAGACCTGGGGGGCTACCGTACCACAAAGGAGCGCCGCACGTACCAGCGGTGCCGTAACAGAGTGAAGGGACTGATCACTGTCGCGCGACGCTCCTACCTGGGCAGCGGTCTGCTGACAGGGCGGCGAGATTTCTGGAGCCGCCTCAAGCCGTTCGAACTACAGCCAGCGAGGGGGCGTGACCCACCCGGTCACGACATGGCCACCCGTGCGGACGCGTTTTCACTGCATCCAGCCACTCTACCGGAGCTCTCTGCAGTCATCAGGATGATGGGCGCGTTAAGAACTATCGGTGTCGATGGCGTACCTCCTTATGCATTGAGAAAGTGTTTCCCTGTGATCGGCGCGCATCTCCTACACCTGATCAACTTTTCTATTATATCACGCACCTTTCCGTCCGTCTCGAAGATCGCGCGCGTCACCCCGGTGTTCAAGCCGAGCGATCGATAAGACCTGAATAACTTTCGGCCCATTTGTATTCCCTCTGTTTTGTAGAAAATCACCGAGAAGATCGTCTGCTCGCAGCTTACTTCTTGCCTTCTTGACAATCATATACTGACGCCATCGCAATATGTTTACCATCCACATCACTCGACGGAGAACGCCCTGATCGACGCTGTCGGCTGGCTGGCAAGGGCTTTCGACAACGGCCATGTCGCGTCGATAGCGACGACTGACCTTAGCAAAGCCTCTGACAGCGTTAATCACGGCGCCCTCCTCAGAAAGCTGGAATGGTGCGGGGTGTTCTCGAAATGAGCGGTCGGTAGCAGGTGGTCGCTGGTGGCTCGGCTACCTGATTTCTGTCGCACGCGATGGCCCAGGGATTCTTTATCGGCTAAGCCCTGTTCCTCATCTTCAGCAACGATCTATCCAGCTTTCTACCCCACGGCCGCACACTATCCTACGCCGATGACGCCAACTTCTAGTTTCAGTCAAATAGCCTTAAAATGAACCCTTAAGGACAGACTTCATACTGATCGGATCTAAACCCAATATCACAAAGACCGGCAACTTCCACATTACGATCTCCAGCACAAATATTCATCCATCATCTTCAGTGAAGGTACTGGGTGTATTCGACCACCACCTCACCCGGGAACCCCACATCTCCTCTCTCGTTCGCCGCTGTAATGCAATCCCTGTTCAAATCCGGCACCACTTCACCCCTGAGATTTTGAGGCTCCTTGCCGAAATATGTCTTCCCACTTCCTCTCCTGTCTGTACATCTGGGGTGGAGCGGCCGAGCGTCACCTAAACGGGGCGCAAAGGGTGATGCACTTCACAGCCCGGCTAGTGAGCGGTGTCCGTCGCATCGATCACATTCCACCCGTTCTGGACGCGCTCGGCTGGCGTAGCGTCGCGGATCTTGAAAGAACATGGTGCACGGACTCCAATACATAGACTATGTCCCTCCCATGTTTTTCCACACAGCTTGTATCTAATTTAATAAACCACGCTTTTTTGCGTGCGAACCCCTTGAAACCCATACTTGCATGAATGCCAACGATTGCCCCCACCCTCGGGCGCTTGGGCTTCGAGATAGGCGACTTCGCCTGAAATTTTTTTAGAGTAGTGGCTCCCTTCCAAGCTATGTGTACGTGCAGCTTTCGTTTTCTAACGTTGCGCTTGATTTTCCAAAGTAAGTGCTCATCTATGTAAGAAAGCATTGAGAATCCGTCGTCACACAGAGTGGTTTCCTACCACCCATCCCTATACGTGCTCTAGATCGCTTTTGCCTCTTTCAACATTTGTACTGAAAATCATGGAGAATATCACTTGCCCAACAGCAAAGTCAATATCCTGTACATGTCTTTTGTTTTGTTTTTTCCCCACTTCATGAGTTGTTTCGAGCCCTCCAGAACATGCTATGGATTATGTCGAGCTTAGTAGAAGTTGGGTGTGCAGATTTGTGGTGCATAATTGTACCAGAGGACCTACCATCCAATCATGCCAGGATATCTGTACACCCAACTCTCCGGTGTACTTCTGAGTGCAAAGGGTAGAAGAGACAGCTAGGATCGGCCATAGTTGGTTTGCGTCATGTTAGTCAGAGCAAATGCCGTTTCATTGTTCAAACGGCAGAGGATCATCAAGCTAGAGCCCGGATTTGCTGGCACCTTTGGTTCTTTAAGCATGAAACGGTCTTCTAAAGTTAGGCTGCAGCGGCAAATCATTGATTTGTGTTTGATTTTTAGTTTTGCTCAGCGTGACAAAAATAAGGCACAGCTGGTATACGCATTCTGTAACCAGTTCTGGAATTCAATTTTTCCTTGACCCCACCTTATTTCCAGGACGCCCCAGCTGCCCAGCATTTGTGCAGTAGGGTGTGTCATCGAGCGGGTTAATCTCTTGGAATCAACTGAATAGAGTTTCCCCTTGGCACACGGATGAAATTTCCAGGTCTGTTGCACCATATGCACCAATGCATCAATGTTGGTATTTGTCAGTCGATAGAGGCTTTTCCTCTCTGGGTCGAGAAAATCGCCTTCGATACTGGGTCAAAACTTATTTTACTTATATTTATTATACTATTTCATATATTACTATTATACAATTTTTGATATAGGTCAAAGTTTGAGGTTTCTAGCTCAGGATCGTCTGGTCAAATAAGGTCAAACGAGGTTTAATTCCAGATTGGTTTCCAAAGTGCCCCCACAACCTAGATAACTGTTTCTAAGCAAAAGGTCACAGGTTTATTTCAGGTTGGTGACCTTGTTTGACCTCTTGAAGGCCATGGTGACCAAAATCATACAAGAATACTCCGAGTTTTGCAGTGGAATAAGGGACAAATATAACGCTGGGCAGTCTGCTTCTAAAACAAAATGTTGACCTGGGTTTTTTCAGGTCGATGACCTGTTCTGACATCTAAGAAGTACATGGAAGACGTATAATTCGGTTCCTGCTATCAACAAATTCGAAATGAGCATCAGAACCTACCCCGTACAACAAGCCCTGTAGTAACAAAGCAGGTTGGTTTTGATCTTGGTCTGACCTTCAGACCTGACCTTAAGTCAATGTAATTTGCTCATTCAATTTTCGTGTTGCCTAAAAAAAACATCTCAGAGATGTATGGCATCGTCTAACAATCCGTTGTTGGACCAGATTGAACGAATCCCTAGAAATTGCCTTCGCTAAAACCCTAATCCCAGGTGTCGGGATTCTCTGTAGCATCAGTTATCCTGGCATTAGTTGAATAAGACTGTCTAAATGAACATTTTAGATGCGTGCATGTTATTGAAGGCTGCGGATCTGAAAGAGACTTTCGGTAATACGTAGATTCCTGATGACATTACTGGGCATGGACGTCATTGTCATTGCATGTCATATAGTATCGCGCTACGCTGCTGCCGACAGTTCGGCTGCAAGAAATGTTGTCGGCGGCAAAAAATACACTCATGATCTCTGAATAGGAATTGGGAGCATATTTGCCGTGGGATCACAAGATAAATGGAACCATCCCGAGTTCAAATCACGCTTCCAGCCATTCTCTAGTTACCTGTTTAAGAGTCGTTTCCATTGCGGAGCTGCACTGACGAACGTCTTCGTTTCAGCACGCCATGCCTGTGCCGACTAACTGGCAGCTTCAGACACACGCTGATCTGTAGATGACGCCGGTCCACAGTCACGCACTGCTCAGCAACCGGTCGCCGACTGGGTGTCATTATCGCAAGGCTTAAAGCGAAGGCTTTACGTAAGCCAGCAATGCTCGACGCTCTTTCGGTGACAGGCACCTGAGTGATGCTGTGCAGAGGATTCGCCATAACTCTGGTGTTCACACACTCTGGACATGGCAATAACGTTACTAGTGCCGTGAATTTATCGCGGCACACTGATATGATGGCGGGTCTTTCAATGGGCGTGGTCTGTTGGCTGATATCTGAAACTTTTAAGATACTGTGGTCTTATTTTATGTAAATTATATTTTCTTTTCAATTGCGCCTGTACTATAAACGTGACTACGATCATCCACGATGTGTTATTCACTTCTTGTTCGAGTATGAACTTAATGGCGCCTTAGAATGCATGCACGTCTTCTGTTGGTTTTAGATTTGTACACTTACTTAATTGTCTTTGATCACCCTGTTCTGGTAGAAGTTGATTAAAAATGTTCTATCCTGTACAAGAACCTGTTCATGTACTGTGCAGCTGAGC